CTTACCACGAGCACCTGCGAGCCATCACCACAGTATTTGCGAAGACAAAAACCCTACCACAAGCATCCGCGAACCATCACCGCGGCATTTGCCAAGACAAAAACCTTACCACGAGCACCTGCGAGCCATCACCACAGTATTTGCGAAGACAAAAACCCTACCACAAGCATCCGCGAACCATCACCGCGGCATTTGCCAAGACAAAAACCTTACCACGAGCACCTGCGAGCCATCACCACAGTATTTGCGAAGACAAAAACCCTACCACAAGCATCCGCGAACCATCACCGCGGCATTTGCCAAGACAAAAACCTTACCACGAGCACCTGCGAGCCATCACCACAGTATTTGCGAAGACAAACACCCTACCACAAGCATCCGCGAAACATCACCGCGGCATTTGCCAAGACAAAAACCTTACCACGAGCACCTGCGAGTCATCACCACAGTATTTGCGAAGACAAAAACTCTACCACAAGCATCCGCGAACCATCGCCGCGGCATTGGCCAAGACAAAAGCCTTACCACGAGCACCTGCGAGCCATCGCCACAGTATTTGCGAAGACAAAAACCCTACCACAAGCATCCGCGAACCATCACCGTGGCATTCGCCAAGACAAAAACCCTTACCACGAGCACATGCGAGCCATCACCACAGTATTTGCGAAGACAACAACCCTGCCACAAGCATCCGCGAAACACCGCGGCATTTGCCAAGACACAAACCTTACCACGAGCACCTGCGAGCCATCACCACAATATTTGCGAAGACAAAAACCCTACCACAAGCATCCGCGAACCATCACCGCGGCATTTGCCAAGACAAAAACCTTACCACGAGCACCTGCGAGCCATCACCACAGTATTTGCGAAGACAAAAACCCTACCACAAGCATCCGCGAACCATCACCGCGGCATTTGCCAAGACAAAAACCTTACCACGAGCACCTGCGAGCCATCACCACCGTATTTGCGAAGACAAAAACCCTACCACAAGCATCCGCGAACCATCACCGCTGGGTGTAGCATTAGGTCTCTTGCGTGGTTCTTTTGAAAGGGTTGAAACGATGTAGTGCACTGAAAGTGTTTAAATCATTCAACTAACAACACTCGTTGTCCTTTTTCTTTGCACTGGCTGTTTCGCATAGTGTAACGGACTAGAAGCATGCTTCTGTTCCTTCGTTACCTTGTATTATCCTAGAGCAACAAAGACAAGAAAAACAAAGACACCGAGGAAGTCGCGTTTCCGCAAAAAGCCTTAATTAACACCAGTGGACCCCACAAACTACCTCTCGGGACCCTACCCGCAAACTCCCCAAACTCCCTAAACTACTACAGAGCCTGGAGAGTTTAGGGAGTTTATGGAACTCCCTAAACTCCCTCCCGAATCCCTCCTCGCAGACCCACCAAACCCAAACTCCCTAAATAGAGAGTTTAGGGAGTTTAGAATTTGGGGGGTTGGGGTGGTCGCCCAAACTCCCTAAACTCCCTCCCGAATCCCTCCGCGCAGGTCCCCCAACTCCGCAAACTCAACTCCCTAAATACAGAGCTTAGGGAATTTAGGGAGTTTGAGGGGTCAGGGGTGGTCGCCCAAACTCCCTAAACTCCCTCCGAACCCCTCCCCGCAGATCCCGCAAACTCCCCAAATACAGGGTCTTGGCCCAAACTATCTAAACTATCTAAACCCTCTCCGCTCCAGACCACCGGGACCTCCCCAAACTATCTAAACTATCTAAATTATTTAAACTATCGAAACCCTCCCGGCTTAAATAGTTTGGGGAGGTTCCGCTGGTCTTGGGCGGGAAGGGGTTTAGATAGTTTAGACAGTTTGGGGCAGTCCAGCTAATTTGGGGCGGGAAGGGTTTAGATAGTTTAGATAGTTTAGATAGTTTGGGGCGGTCCCGCTGGTCTGGGGCGGGAAGGCTATCATAGTTTAGATAGTTTGGGCCAAGACCCGGACCACCCAAGCTGTCTAAACTATGTACACCTTTGTCCTCCTGCCTTGGCAGGCACGTCACGTGATACAGAAAAGTTCTTCAGACGCATATGTGTACATATGTGTGCATATTCGCTTGCGTATTTATCTATTTTAAAATATCTTTCTTTCTCTCTCTCTCTCTCTCTCTCTCTCTTTCTCTTGCTTGCTTGCTTGCAGGGCGTTTGGGGCATGGGGTCGGACCCCACAACCCCCGCGCGCGAACGCAACGCCTGAAGTCTGTGTTCGGTGTGAAACGTGCAGTGGACCCACGAGCTGTGTCGGCACTGTCCTCCCATGGACCCCAAACATCATGGAACCCCGTGCCCTTGAAGCCCCCGTGCCTGGCTCAGCTCGTGGGATACCGTGCGTTTGTCCGTGTTTGTTCACGGGCTGTTCGCTATCCTACCGGGGTCCCTGCTGTTGCACCAACTCGTAGCCAACATTACTTAGAGACGGCCTTGTTCAACCTCTTTGCAGCCCCCGTGCTTGCTTCTGTGCTAGTTTAGGCACCGGTTAAGTGGGTTATGTGGCTTGTGTCAGTGCGGGTCCCTGGGGAAAAGCAAGTGGGCAGGGGAACAGTACTCTAAGGGAAAGTCACAACTTGGGTCCCCGCACTGATGGTGAAGGTGATGGTGTGGTGAGGCTCCGGTACTTCGGGGATGGGGAAGCAAGAAGGGTGGGGCAAGGTTCGAAAGTCTAGGGGGAACGTCACACACTGTACCGGAGGCCCCGTGGGTGAGTGCTGGTGGTAGTTTTGTGGTTGTTCCTTAGAAAAGAAGGTCCCCTTACGGCACCTTTGTCGAAAAACAAACCACACGACAGCATGTGCATAATACGGCAAGCTGGCACCGGGGATCCCCTTTGTCCTAGTGGGGGTCGAACGCTGCGTGCATTCGCCTCCGACGGTGCGTGGCTCGGTCTTCAAGGCTCGGCTCGCTACTTTCCGCACTCAGAGGAGCTTGCTGCTGAAACCTTGTCCCCGGTCGACTCTCTCTCTCTCTCTCTCTCTCTCTCTCTTACTGTCTGTCTTTAGGCTTTTCTTTCGTACAAGTACTTTCTTTCTCGCCGTATATCCTCTCATTCCTTCTTTCAGTCCTTACATTGTGATTTTAGTCGTTATTTCCTTCTTCGTATTTTTGCTGGTTTGCCTGTTTAGCTGTTTGTTTGGTTCTTTCTGCTTGTATTTCTGTCCTGTTGGTTCGTTGGTTCGTTCGTTCTTTCTTCTGCCCGTCCTTCGTGCGATCCTTTCGTATGTCGTTCTGTTGTGCTTCGGTCTTTCTTGCTTTGTGTCTTTCTTTCCTTCCTGTCATCCTTTCATCCTTGCGCGTGCCTTTCCTGCCTCCACCGTCGCCCAAAACAAAACGACAATAAAAATAACCGCAAAAACACACACCCTCCTACTGTAGCATTGTTGGTATTGTGATTATTAGTAGGCGCCGTCGTCGTAGCAGTAGTAGTAGCCGCAGAAGTAGAAGCAATAGCAGTAGTGGCAGTCATCGTCGTTGTGGGCCTCAGAACTCATTTGGTGTTTCGGAGCAGCATGAATCCAGAAGGGCGGACAGGCGAAAAGCGGAGCAAGACGGGCGGAAAAGATGAGGGTGGAAAAAACTGACGCGGAAGAACAGAACAATGGAGCAGGATAGCGAAGCATACAAGCAAATAAACTGAAAAGCAAATACGCAACGAAGCGGAATGCAGAAAGGCAAAAGGACAAACAGGCAGAAACTATACAAGCAAACACTGGCAGAAGGCAGAAAGAAAAGCCGAAACAAGCAGAAAAGCGGAGGAACGGAAGAGCGAAGCAGACAAGCAGAGAAACGGAAAAATAGAAAAACTGAAGCAAGAACAAGCAGAAAATGACAAGCAAACAAAGGCAGAAAGGAAACCTGTGAGCGATTGAGTGAGCGAGTGATCGAACTCGATGACGCACTGTCAATATCAGAACATGTGCAGCTGCTGACACCAAACAACAAGCAACCGCACGGTGTGTTGATTGCTGCTTTCTGTGAGAGAGTGTCGGGGTGCCGCCCTCGCGCCGACTCGCCGAAGGGCTCGTCTAACGCAGGGCCAACACTCGTCCGAAACTTCACAGACAGGCTGCGGTCAAAACACTGTCAGACTGGGGGATTCAGAGCTAATGGGGCTGCGGCCAAAGGATGGCAGCTCAATCAAGTGCATACCTCGCCTGCACAGACACCCGCAAGCTCCAGGATTCAGCGCAGCCAATGACACGACAAAGCATGATATCATTGACAAACGCCTGCCCAGATGCCCGGAAGCTCCAGGTTTCAGCGCAGCCAACGATAGGAACAAACACACAAAGGACATAAAAGGTCTGTCAGCATGTCATTAACAGACGCCTGCACAGATGCACGCAAGCTCCGGGATTCCGCGCAGCCAATGACATGACAAAACATGACAAAGACCAACCATTGACATGTACAAGCTTCACGAGACCAAAATCGTTAAACCTGACATGTAAGAAATTGTATGGACAGCAAATGAAGCAGATGAGGGTTCAGCGCACAGAGCTTTCCAGCTCCACATGTGCTTTGTATGGCTTTCCCCCCCCCCCCCCGCTTTCCGGGTTCCGCGTACTGAGTTTTTACTGCAAAAGAGCAGTTCAAGGCCCTGCACTGGGAGGTTTCAAAACACAAGTGTACAATTCAATGCAGACAGACGTGGGTACAAGTAAATCTGACAGTGAACGACAAAAAAATACACAGATAACGCAAAAAATAAAGACACAGATGACGCAAAAAAAAGACACAGATTACCCAAAAACTTGGGTACGGGGAGCCATTGCTTGGGACATCAGACCTACAAAGATAAAAAAAGACACAGATAACGCAGAGAAAAAGACACAGATAACGCAAAAAAAAAAAAAACATCACCCCCTTACCGGCGCAAACGCACTGCAAACGCACTTTACACTTGCAATGTATGTATTTGCTGCGCACGTGTTCCTGAAAGTGTATTATGTTCATAAATGCTAGGCAATTTTGCGCACATAACCACCTACTTACATCTTCGCTTGAGTGTTGTGCCTCTTAGCATGTCTACGCATGTCCGATCTGCATATGCACAACCCTGCTGTGTGCACAGTCGTGGCAAGTGTCTGGTCAATTCTCCAATCTGGCAGGGTCCACGTCCCTGTCTTGTCTGAGAAGATGTACGAAACTTGTCCAAGCTCATGGCAAAGATTCCTCACTTGGCACAGCAACTCGCAGCATGAAGCCCTGGCATACAGCACTTGGATACTCAACAGAAGCCGTTTTTGCCTGCGAGACATGTGAGCGTTCCTCTCTTGCTTTCGAGTCACGTCGTTCGCGCATTCGCGGGACAGTCTTGGCCCTGACATCCATAGTAGCCAGGTGCATTCAATACGGATCAACGAATCAGCGAGCTAGACATTGCAGCACAGCAGCAGCCCTTTCCCCACCCCACGGCACCTCATCATACATCTCAATGTCGTTCTTGATGAAGTAAGCCTCCAAGCATGTACGAGCTCACAGCAACAGAACTAACTCCTTCGAAGCAACAAGGTAATTCAGGTTGCTGGACCGGCCTGCGCAGTATTGCACACCTGTCACATGGATCTTGCAGTATGCTGCTGCACAGTGAGGAGCTGCAAGGCCGTCGGAGCCGGCCTCCATGGTGAAATAAAGAGATATGGGCATCAAATTCGAGTACAGCCTGGATATTCCCAACTGACATGACCCCGATCACTGCCAAGCTCAATTACCTGAGGGACTGACACGAAAAATGTGAGCCAGTAACCGATACTCTCTGGCAGGATGATCTTGCGCGATGGTCCCGCGGGAAACAAATACCAGTAGCTCATGAACTGCTCTTTGGTCATGAGGTACACGATATCATTGATGAGCGCCATCAAACATTGTGCACCCACAACAACCAGCATGGATCGGTTGATCACCTGCTCGATGTTAGCATACTTGGCTTTTGCCTTCCTAGAATTCATCACCATCCGTGTCTCCGGACCCGTGTAAACGACCGCTCCCACAACCCAGGATGTGTTTTTCAAGACCGTGCCACGGAGGAGGAAGTTTTTGGCATTCAAGGGCTCTTCCACTTCAGCGCCCGTCCGAAGGCAGCCCTTGAAGGTGTGAATCGATTTCTGTGGCGCCTCCGCCACAAGAAAGCTCTCACCCAGGGAGTGGAGCCTCTCAACGGCTTGGTCCAGCAAGGGCCGCGCGTCGCCCGCGCCTCCAACCAGAGCCCTTTGTGTGGATGAAGCTGGTTCTTTGAGCTTCAAGTTTGTTTCGCCATCGAGATTTGCTGTCGACACATAGCACCCACCCTCACTGGATGATGCAAGCGGCACCAAGTCGGCCGGAAATTCCTCCTCTCCAGCCACAACTAAGACATCACCGACACGAACATCTGCCCAAATCACATCTTCGGAGACGAACCCCTTGCCTCCGATTCCATCGGCCTTGAGCCGGTGCGCTATCTGGCTGTTGGTAATGACATCAGCCTCATGCCGGCGTTTGTCATCGATGACTGCGATCACGGCTGATGCTGTCATCATGATGAGCAAGGCTGCGAACGTGGAGTAAAACTTTATGAAGCCGTAGAACAAAGGAGTGTAATTACCTCAGTACGTCTGGACACTGCGCAGGCTCAGACATGGTCACTCTGATGCCAAGATGCCGATGAACATCACAACAGAGATGAAGAGAAAATATCGATTGGCAGCCTTGTGAAGCTGCTCCCATAGATTTTTGGGAACCTGAGCAGATCAGCGAAATAAGGCTGGCTCTACACATCTAGATGCGGACGCTGGAACTTGGTGGTGCCTGGGCCCCATGCAAAATTCAAAACCGTGTACTTCGAAGTAATAACCGTGTTTGCCGGGAAATGGCTCGCCCATGCCTGGAGGCCAGCTCCATCGAGCAGTCGTTCACTCAAAACCTGCTGGAAAACGTGCTTTGCCTCGCGAGCTCCATCCGGAGGGATTGGAATTTCTCGCTCTTGGCTGCCATGCTCCTGCAAAGAGCATGTTTGCAACAAAGTGAATCGTCCCGTCTCGTCAAGCATACGAATTTTATGGTAGTATGCAACCGAATAATCTTCGTATGAACCTTGAATATGGAATGGCATTGCATCCTCCGTCCTGGTCCTCCCGCATCCACGCTACTCAGCAGGAAGCCCGTCTATGGCATCGGGTCCAGCAAGCATCATCGAGAGGTAGATGGCGCTTACGGGGTTTAAGCTTCGGGTCTCGGGCTTGTAGGATGATCCTGCACGGGGCCGGGTGGTACCGAGGCTTGAGTAGGAGTTGCGGGGACTCGTGGGGCCTCACAGATATCACTCAAATCTTAAATGATTCCGCTTGATGTCAATGAGCCGCAAGAGCTGCAACGAACACACGCACACACACACGCAAGATCAAATGCCAGCCTGGCCAAGCACTCTCGCTCCCGACTTCTTGCAATGTTTTCTCTGCGTAGCATTTCCAGGCAAGTTAATGTACAGTCGGAAGCCCTAAGCCCTAAAATTATCCCTTCATTTTTTGGGCCCAGGTGACTGGCCCTTGTCCTTCTCCCCAGGCTTCAGATTCTTCTTTACATTCTTTGCTCCACCCTTCTTCAAAGTCTTCTTTGGATCTTTGTCCTTCCTGGCACTTGTCTTCGGATCTTTGGGATCGGGGCCGTCTTTGTCTTTTTGGCTCAGCTTGTCGTCATCCTCCTCCGTTTGGGGAGTGGGCTGCGTCGAGCTTGGCATGTGCATGTCTCTGTCCGTACCTGTCACGGAATGAGTGCAAGTAGAGTGTAACGTGCAAACTGCAAACATGCCACTAACATCATCCTGGCACAATTTCGTCAATACTTGCCGGCTACCCTGAGAGCTTAGACAAGGGTGTGGCGCGAAGCTCTAAGAGGTAGAAGTGAAGGCTCATGCAGGGCCGCTTGTGGCACAGAACGGCTGGCCCGAGCTGCGCACGTGGAGTCATTTCGGCACCAGGATCCATGCGAAGCTGTCGTCGAGTGGACTTGCTCGCCTCGCAGGTGGGAGGAGATGCGCCAGGTGATCTGCCAAACTACCAACCACCGGCAGGTACCATTGCAGATGCGTTTGCCCCGCGTTCTCATGAACTGGTGAAATTGTGTATGCATTGCCTTGTAGGTTTCATCCTCGCGCAGTCGAACGTCGGGGAACAAGGACTGATTGATGTTCGGGATGACGCCACCTCCAGCAATTGTTGCCTCACAGCCAACTTGCATCTGCGAAGTTTAAAGAACTGCGTTTCCGCATACAGCCACCACCTCCAACATGGGCACTGCCAGCACCATGCATCCAGCATGTAGGGCATGTCACATGCCACATGAGAATCACGCAACATCCCTGGCCATCCTCTGCTGGCCTTGACAAAGCGCGCAAGCTCCTCATCACCGCGAATTGCAATCTGCAAGTGCCGCGGCGTGATGCGCTTGAGATGGTAGTCCTGAAAGGAAAGACCGCTTGGACTTGGATGCATGACGCTTCGTTCCAAACCAATGAGCCAGTGCCAACAAGCCATGAAGACACTTTTGGACAACGCTGGTCCGCACACACGTTGCCAGCTAACTCCAGAACCTGACACAACCACTGCACGCGCAGAAGCATGGCTGCGAAAAAGTGGGAGATGAAAGCGTGGTGCCATGCGCCTCTGCTGCCAGATACTCCATGACAGCAGCCGTGAAGATGCCGGCAGAACCGCCGACTCGACACCTTGCTGCCATGTACCTCCGTAACAAGTTTGCAGCTGAAAACTTGGTGGTCGTGACGTGGCAGAGGACCGCACGACTTGAGGAACCGGTGGATGCGAGCAACGGGGAAGATGCATCCAGCGCGTTTTGCGGTCGTCTTGCCCTCAGTCGCTACTTGCGGCTCGACTTCTGGCTGGAGCAGGTCACGCATCCGTTGCCAAACGCCTTGCCTGCTTGCCCTCAATCTTCTTGTTCTTGTCTTTGGGAGCGGATCTGGTGCGGCCACGCTTGCGGCCGCGAGACGGCTTCGTGGTTTTCCCGCCATCGTGCACTGATTCTTCCCCTTCTGTTTCCCCTCCTCCTGCACCCATCTTTGTCGGTGTCTTTCCCTGGGCAAAGCATCTGCACCACCAGCCACTTCAAACTCAGCATAGCGCAGCGCATTCCACAAAATGTCGGTGCCTTAACTTCTCCCTTTTTGAGGCCGGTTTTTTTGTCATCCTTTCCCTGTTTCAGGTTGCTGCCGACTTCGCAGGGATGGATACGAACACATGACGGCACATGCATACTGCAGGGAGACTCACGGACTCGTCTCTTTCCCGTCCCTCGCCTCTTGCTTTTTCTTGTCGAGCTTTTTCTCACTTTTGCCGCCCTTCTTCTCATCGTCTCCCTGGCAGACAAAGCAGACATGAAAATCGACCAATGTCACAGGTCCCGCGACGCCTTGGCTTGATCCTTCTTCTTCTTCTTTGTGCTGGCCTTGGCCTCGTGATCCTCCTCTGCTTCGGCCAGCATCACTTCCTCGAGTCAGCGCAGCTCCGGGTCCCTTCCAAGTCCCTGGTCCCTCCCAGGGCCCTACCAAGCTCCTCTGCTTGTTGTCCTTCCTGGCCCGCGGCCGTCTGGAAGACTTGAGACTGACAGGTCAGACACAGAGCCCTTCTGCACATGAGACGCCAGAAACGTCTGAGCCGCTGCCTTGGTGCCCTTAGTCTCCTTGAAGGTCTTCTGACCCTTGTCTAGCTTCGCCTTCGGCGTGTCTTTGCCCTCGCCTCGCTTCGTGACTCATCTCTCAGCCTAAACAACACTCTTCAGTCGAGAAGCTGTGCGGTGTCTGTCTGGTGTCCCTGTCCTTCGGCCAGGGCATAGCTTGACGTGTCTGAACTGTCCGCTATGGACGATATTCCGCACTCCTCATCTACAGGGGATGACGCAGGAGGCGAGGGCGCCGGAGTTGAAGCCGGGGTGGATCCATCTATTTCGGATGTTTCCTCGGCACCGCCGGCTTCGGGCGGCATTGTCCTTGAGATGTCTCAAGAGACAAACAAAGACAACAGAGAGATGCAACAATTAAACTAATTCCTTTGCTGGATCTTGCTGACGAGGCACCAGGTAGCGCGCCTACCTGAGACAGCCTGTTTTGCACTTACCTTGCGGCCTTTGTGCCCCCACAAAGACACCCTTGAGCCCGCACACAGCGATGAACGGGAACACTTTCGAACTGCAACATGATGTGGGATTGCATGGTACAGCATGTCCTTTCGCAGCACCACTTCGAAACGGAAGCCATTTTGTCAATCAGCAGTGGTCTGATTTGCCCACACCCCAACACCCCATTGCATTGCCAAGCCTGCCTTCGCGCAGACAGCAGGATGCAATGTTACCCGAGCAGTCGCTTCTCAACTGCCCATCCCCGTATGTCAGTTTACATCGATGGGCCCATGAATGATTCTTTGCAGGCGGGCCCGCTTCTTCTGGGGAGTGGTGAACCTTGACACCATTTGCCACATCCGAGCAACAAACGAATCGCACAGAAGCATCTCAGCATCGGGCGCCCCCTCTTCCACGTCAAACACTCGCGGAAACGGCAGCCTGAGTTCGTCTGGATTCGCTGCCGCGTCAGCAGTTCTTCAGCTTTCAACCGTCTCTGCGCTTTCAAAGCTGGGCCCTTAATAACTAGAATATGGTCTTCGGGCCCATTATACTATAATACTACTTTTATGCTATAACTATAACTATGATACTATAATAGTTACTATAATACTGGAATAATGCTATAACTATAACTATGGGGCCCATTACACTATAATACAATATTCATGCTATAACTATGATCAGGAACCCCGGAAAGAGTATGGGTAACCTGCCTCTTCAGCAGAGCTCCAGGGCCGGGCTCCAGGGACCTGAACTTCACATAATGACGAAGAGACGAAGGGCTGTGAAATCCATAAAATAATATATATATATATATATATATATATATATATATATATCAGTTACTACGATCGCAGACGTTCGGTGCCCTCACTGAACAGACTATCGGCGATCGCACCTTTTTCATGCGACCGCAACGTGGGAGTCGGCCACAGTCGGATCATCAAAATTTCACTTGATCTTCACAAGTCCGATCGGACCCCCGATCGCCGAGGGGTGCGCCATGGCATTCGCCACAGACCGCAACATCATCCGATCGGACACATCAGACAAGCGATATTCCCCGCGAACAAAATTAAAAGTCTTCGATCGGATCATCGGGCTCCGGCGACGGCTCCTCGATTGGATCATCGTCGAGGGGGGCCGCGCCGAGCAAGTCAATCAACTGCCGCTCGGCGGCACGAAAAGCTGCGTCAGGAGCAGCTTTGGCTCTCGTCCGAGCGGGAGTAGCGCGAGAAGCCTGGTACGCCGCGATCTGGGCGGGAGTCGGGGGCGCCTTGGTCGGCGGACTCGAGCTCCTCGTAGACACCATGATCTCGGTGCCGGGAGGGAGCTGCGTACCGGGCGGGAGCTGATCTAGCCGCCGCGGGGGCTGCCCCGGAATGACATAGTGAGCCGGTCCGCTGATGCGGACATCATCGGGCACCGTGTCGAGCGATCTGGGGGGCTGCCCTGGAACTATGTACTGAGCAGGCTCGGCGAACAAAGGAGAACGCCCTTTCGGAGCCGCTCGGCCTTGGCGCGGCAGACCAGCCTTGGGATCCACATAGTAGACCGGCTGATCCATGCCTCTGTTTCGATGAGCTCTGGCCGGGGGCGCTTTGGGCACCGGCCGCTGAACAGAGGGCACGCCCATCACTTGATCCCAGTTGAGGGGAGGATCTGCCCCGTGATCGTAGCCGGCCGGCTGGTGACGATCGCGATCACGATGAGCCGGCGGCGTGACCCAGGGGGTCTTTCGGCAGAAATGACACATATCCAGGCGACGATCGCAAGCCGTGCACAAAGGAGTGCGCTGGTTGGGGGCCCACTCTTCGCGGGGGACCCGAACGGCTGCGTAACATTCGTCTTGGCCGTCCCCGTCGCAGAAGCAGCCGGTGAACAGGCCGCAATCCACGCAGGGACGGCAGAGCTGATCTGTGTCGCCGAAAGCGAGCGCTTGAAGGCCAACGTCGTTGCGAGGATCCCGCATACCGAAAAGAACAGATAGGGTGGAGAGGGTGGGATTTTTCGGTATGGCCCGATCGGCTATCGCCAAAATGGCCACGGAGAAGATAGATCAAGTCTGTTCCAACGATCGCGAAACTGATCTCCTAATTCCTACCCACCAGACCGATAATTAGGAGACCAGTTACTACGATCGCAGACGTTCGGTGCCCTCACTGAACAGACTATCGGCGATCGCACCTTTTTCATGCGACCGCAACGTGGGAGTCGGCCACAGTCGGATCATCAAAATTTCACTTGATCTTCACAAGTCCGATCGGACCCCCGATCGCCGAGGGGTGCGCCATGGCATTCGCCACAGACCGCAACATCATCCGATCGGACACATCAGACAAGCGATATTCCCAGGCCCTCAAACTCCTTTCGGAAAGTCCGAGAGGACAGTGATCCAACCACACATCAGACCTGTAGCGACATCACCACGAGAGGGATTATCCGCCGGGTTCGAATCGGTCGGTACCCGATCGATATAAACAGAGCACCTAAGCTCCAGAACAAGCTCCCAGAAAATTCCTACGAGCTCGCAGACGTCCTCTTTTGCAGAGTAGCCTTTGATCAAAGCTGCCTCTACAGGCTCGGAATCGATAAAGAGGAGGACCAGCTTTCCACGGATCTCTTCCCTGAAAGTCTGTATCGCAGCGACCGCGGCCAAAAGTTCGATCATGCAAATTTGGGTTTTCCGGGGGAACCACCTCGACATGATCTGCCGTGACACCCCCGAGGCGAATTGCCTAGGCTGATCGTCCCTAGTGAACATCACTCCTCCAATCATCTCAGAAGAGGGATCCTTGGGGTTCGAGCTCGGCGCCGATCCATCCGTGAAAATCACCACGTCGGACTTCCGCGGCCCCGAACTGGGGATAGGCCTCGGAGGCCCATGCATCACGAGCGTCCGCCACTTGTAGAGGGAGTAGAGGAGAGCAGGCGATAGGCTCGTACTGACCGTCTTCCGGGAGTATTGCCTCTCCGACAGAGATCTCAGGAAGGCTCGGCCGATCTTCCCCCAGAGCTGCGAAGCGCCGAACATCAGCTTTCCTCTGAGCTTCCCGGCTTGGCCGGGAGACATCTCTTCGTGTTCCAGGATCGACGAGATCTCGTCGAAGAGCTCCTGCTTCCTGGACTTCTTGATCTTGAGCAAGTACTGATCGAGGTCATAGGTCACGCCCAGGATCGTGGGATCCGAGCAGAGCTGGAGCTTCTGCTGATCGAACCGGGCCCCGAGCCACCAATGGACCTTCTCGGCCAGCGCGAACGCACTATCTGCCGTGGCCTCCGGCTCGAAGCCGTACTTGTCGTCATAGAAGTTGAAGCCGGCCACGATGAACACGCGCCTTAGAATGTCGGTAATCGCAGCCGAGCGGCGGTTGTAGTTATAGACGGCCGAGACCAAGCCGAAGGAGTGGCCGACCATCACGAAGAACGCCACCTTTCCCGTGGCCGGATCCTTCAGAGCGACCACACTCCACTTGCGATGGGCCGGAGAGATCGGCACCTGCCGATAGGCTCGCCGCTCGTCCAGGACCCAACCACGTAGCGGGGACTTCGGCAGCCGCGAGCGCAGCCACTTGATCACCGCCACGTTCGCGTCCGTCGAGGGGAGTTCGAGTTTCTCGGTGACGATCGTCGCCATGTTGATCCCATTTGAGGTAGCACTGTCAACTCCCCTGACTTTGTTCTTTTGAACCACTTCAAAGCGCTGAGTAGGGATCCAACGATCATCGCCGACGAACTCCGAGACTTCGGCCTCGTCGAAGAAGGGACCGATCGCCGACCCTTCTCGAACATCTTCCATGGTCCCTTCCCAGACCTTGGGAGAGTGCTCGGTGATCGGAGATTTCCGAATCGCGCCTAACACCTTCGATCGAAATTCCCAGGCCCTCGAGCGAAGGGCATCAACCGAGAGATGCTCCGCATGAGGTTTGCGATCGGGCTTCCATCGGTGGGAGGAGGCAATATCGCCGACGATCGGCATGCCCGCCATGATCTGATCTACCAGGTCAGTGTCACTGCATTTGGCCTCATTCATGAGCTCCCGCCAAAGGGCGACGTGGAAAAACTGACCCATTTCCAGTGGACGATCGTCTGGGCCGCCGCGAAGAAGACGGCGCAAATGCCGATCTGGTATCTGCTTGAGCAAGGAGTCAGAGGACGGGAGCAGATCTTGAGCTCGCCGTTCCCAATGCTGCAGAAGAGAGGCTCGACGATCGCGCACTTGAGCAGGATCACGAACAATTTGCTCCAGAACATCAAGGAGGTCTGGGTCGATATCCGCGTCCTTTGTGAACGGGTGCGTAGCTTCCAAGGCGAAAGCGATCGCTTCACCCGGGTGCATCTCCGTGCCGATCAGCGGAGCCACGACAGACTTCTTCATCTGGTAACCCGCGGCGACGGCCTTCTTGCCGGCCGATCGTTGACGATGTTCCGCGGCTTTGACCGGGGCGCCATGGGGCCGCTTCCGATCGGAGTCCGGGGTCTCGAGCGCAAAAGTGAGAGTTTGCCAGGACCGATCCACGTGATCACCTGTGTTCACCGGCGCCGGATTGAAGCCCAACTGAAGGAGTTGTTCGAACTCGTCGGCAGGGATCCGATCGACCCCCTGCACCGAGTACACGGCGAGGACCACCCGAGTTCCGATCCAGGGCAGAGTCGCGCGCAGAGCTTCCTTAGCGTTGAAGAGGATCTTATTGTCGACGAAGTCGGTGAGGAAACCGGGGATGGAGCGTCCCTCGATTTCTCTCACATCGGGCCCGAGCGGGTCTTCGATCCAGAGCCCGCCTCCTTCAAACGACCCGAGCTTGAAGACAATGTTCGGGATCGGCTCATTGCCCGAGTCACGGTGAGGTTCGGCCTCCTGATC